GAATACAATTGAACTAGGTTTTATGTGTTTTGATGTATGGCCTCAAGCAAGTACTGATCCGTTCTTTGAATTATTTCCAATTCTTATAGTTCATTGTACGATTAGTAATTGTTAATGTTGATATTCAACGAATTTGGTTTTGCCCACTATGGCTCAGTTGGCTAATCTGGTGCTGGCCACTGTGTGTGCGCTAAACTGTGGAGATGTCTAGGTCGCTGCCTCTCCTTGTGTTTCAGCTGGAGGGCCGAAATACGAGGTACAATAGCGTACCTGATGAGACATTTAAGCTGTTGGTCCTGTGTGCATTTATGGCCCATGTGCACGTTAAAGAACGCAGTATACTCTTCGGAAAAGAGTAGGGGATTGTCTCCCGGTGAACTGCCCAATCACCACAATAAGGACCCCTCTGGAAATAATTCTTCTTTCAGACTTTCGTGGGCTATCCTTGGTGTTTACACCGAATAAATCCAATGGTGGAAAATAGTACTTCTTGACTGGATATTACCAGAACAGAATTACCTTCTGTTACATCTCAAATGCTAAATAGAAAATTTTAATTAGTTGTAAGATTTAGGTAGAATGATATATAGTATATTAATATTTTTTACAGATTTCTGTTATAAAATAATAGTTATTAATTTGTTTTAAAATTAATCATTATAGATGTTATAACGACCATTGTTAGTAAAATTATTATGAAAATTACATGTAAAAGTAAAGGTAAAAGTAGGAGAATAACCCGTAACTCACAGTGTCTTTGTGCTGAAGTCCGTCTGGGCGTGGTCCATGACTACCTAGCCGCCATAAAGAGGCACTTTAAAGAGATGTTTGTTCATCCATCATTCCAAAATATCTTTTTTGCGAAACCATTGAAATATTTTTATTTTTTATATTACTATTTCATCAACCATAAAAGTTTGGCTAATACTAATAGTTGAAAAAAAATAATGATAGACATAATTTATTAATAAATAAACAATACAATAAATAAACAATAAAATAAATATATAATACAAGAACTAAACGATATAAGAAATATAAAATATAAAAACAAACAATGCAATAAATAAGCAATAATTTATATTAATACTTGCGGTGCACCACATAGATGGTTCTGAAAAGAACTGTTGCTGTTGGTTGAGCAATAATTACAAGAATGGCTAATGAAGAGAATTAGGTCTTAGAATTGCAAAACAAGTGTAAATTGCTTACTAAAGTATACTATAAGCACAATTTAACTGAATTAGGTTTTAGAGAATCCTGGCTTACATTGATAAAAAAAAAAAGTTATGCTAATACTCTACAGTATCTTTATCTTGCGATGAAATCTCATTTTCTTCGGCCACAATGAACAGCATAGTCTTCAAGGCTATATGATACGGTTGAGCACTAATGATTCATTATATAATTACATCAAGCACCATGGCAACACAGCAGTGTTTTGTTTTCTGCCTTTCTGCTTGTTATGCTTTTGTATTGGCTTTGATCTTGGTGTTTATAAGGCAGTGCTCTAGAATATTAATTAGCATTCTCAGTTATTCTAATTATATACCTCTTCTTTCTAATCAATTAATATTAGTAATTAGTTTGTTTTTGTTGAGTTTAGTAAATAATAATCATTAGCTAATAATAGATTTAGATTTTATTGTTCTTGTTTTGTTCATGTTGGAGAAGCACACCTTTCCTGCAGGGCTAGAAAAGTGCGCGACCGCTGTTCGCAGGCATTGACCATTACCCTGGAGAAATTTTAGGAAAACAAATGTTTTTTTTAAGTTACACATCACAATTTAATGCATACTGTTAATTAAATTTGATATTTATGCTTGCTCCAAACCACTAAATGTACTACCAAAGAGTATAAATAGAACAAGAGAGCCAACAACGCTCATTGAGAGCGTAAAAAAACGATACGCCCTACGCAGCTAGTGTAGGACGCCAACTAACGTTTGTATGTTTTTTATTACACAGTACTCCACCGCGCACGGTCGGTTTGTCTGTTTATCTGTTCTCCACAAAATACTGTACTTTTGTTTTCTGCTTATTGAGTTTATAGCGGGCGTACTCCTACCGCACTGCGCGCAGCGCTGTACTGGGTAATAAAAAGAACATACAACCGTTAGTGGGCATCCTACACAGGCGTGACGTTTTTACGAACGGGACTTTGCGCTCTTGTTCTATTTATACTCTTTGGTACTACTAACTATAATAGTGTAAAGATTTGGTGCTGGAGGCATTTGATGAAGATAATTTTCATGGTTGGATGCACAAAATATCATTTCCAGGCCTGGTTATTTAATACAGATATCACTACCTTCTATCGTATTGCCATATATTCTATCACAGTAGTATCAGGCCAGTATAGGCATGTTGTTGTTAATATTTCTTACTGTAATGCTGTTGACATTCTTAATGCTAAATCACTTTTGGTGAATATTCTTTGCTGGTATAAACTTAATATAGCATTCCTACTTTTTACTAATACTACATTATTTAATAATGATAGAAAAAAAATTTAATCTAAAAATTGTCATATTTGTGTATTTCTTCTAATGAAAACTTCTGTTACAAATTTGGAATTTGTAATTACAGTGTATTTACTATTAGCTTTTCGAAATTTCCTTATGCAGATGCATAAAGCAGGAAGCCTGAAAAAGAACAGTAGATGTATACATTACTGAAGTAATAGTTATAGTCGGCACTGGTCGGCTCAGTCCACACTTCATCATTTGCTACTAAATCAAGAACTACCATGTTGCTGCCTGAATTGTAGCCTGAACCAGTCTCAAGTGAGGAGACAATGAATTGCCCATTCTTCTTGATGCTTGTTGCAATGTTATCGGAAGATGATGAGCCTGATGTAAACTGGAAGACATAGATGCCTGGATGTTGACAGACAAACTTGCCTGTTTCTTTATTGTAGTGATTCCCAAAGTTGGTAATTACTAACGGGTATTTCATAGGACTAACTGGATGGCGGCCTGGGTCTACATTATATCCAACTGAGAAGGCAGATTTGGGCTGGCTGATTGTGGTAGCTTGTTCACCTTTTTCTCCTTTTCCTCCTTTCTCACCAGTAGCACCTGGTAAACCGATTGGTCCTATTTTACCTGGAAGCCCATCTCTTCCATCTGATCCCTTCTCTCCTTTTTCCCCAACATCTCCTTTCATGCCTATTGGACCAGGACCACCAGGATTAC